CTGACCTGCTCACCTGTCTCTAGTTCCTGACCTGCTCACCTGTCTCTTGGGCTTGTCTGCTCCTGACCATCGCCTTGAGTAAGTCTCACACTACTCGTGTCCCCTACATGCTTACAGTAAACAATACATAAAGATAGATGTACTTTATTGATCCCACATACAAATAATCACCCCTTTCCTTATTTAGTTTTTGTGAAGTAAGGTATTTGGTTTCTTTGAACTGTTTTTATGGATTTAAAGCAGAACAATGGATCAAGACAAACTGACGATAGATGTGCAAATGTATTAAAAATGTTTACTGCAAAGAGACTTAAATGAAATGTAAGCAACTTAAAACATTTCAGAGAGTTGCTATAAATATTCAGTTTGACAAAGATAATTGAATCGACTATAAACTGAAATAAATAGATGCAGTGTTTGTCTTGCATCAATAAGTTCTTAAGCTCCGCCATTGACTTGTCTTGAATCAGCTCCCTGCAGAATGACTTAAACAAGACAAACATGTCCACAGAAACTTCTCAGACTACTTGTGCATCATGATGCATGTCTTGGTTTCTCTGCTGTGTGCATGTAGGTTTGCTACCATATTGCTAAATAAACCACTTCCTCAGGATCCCCCATGTTTTGCGCACTGAGCTGAAGTCTCCGGCTCGTTGCTTGACCAGAGTTCGTGCTCCATCGCCTGCTTTGTGTCAGTATTTTGCTATCGGAAGCCCCAGAAAGAAAAGTTAGCATCGCTTACGGCTGCTGGGGGTGTTCTTTTGATTCAAGAAGATTCTAATGTTTGGGAGACAAAAACTCTGATTCAACTTTGCATGTTAGTGCTTGGATTAACAGGAAACTTTCAGAATTAGATTCCATGTTAATAGCTGCATGCTCTGCTAATCATCATTTCAAATGTAGGAATACTAAATTGGAAGAAAGGACACTTTTCTTTTTAGCAGAGGTTGATGAAGCGCTCATCTTTTACTAAAGTAAAAGTACCACAGGGAAGAAATACTTTTGACTGGAGTAAAAGTACAAAAGTCTTAGCTCTGAAATATACTTAAGGTACTAAAACTACTTAGTATGCATGTTGCCCCATTTCAAAATAATAAGTGATGCATTAATGGTTGCGTTACAGCTGGTAAAAGTGGAATAAAGTCTAACTACTTAATATACTTTATGATTTTTAATTATGCCTGTATGATTTATTTGAGAATATTTTGTATTAATATATATATATATATATATATTTTTTTTTTTTAAACATAGAAGGGCAAAAAGCACAAGTATAATGTCGCATAAAATGGAAATGTTCAAGTACCTAAACATATTGTACATGAAATTCCTTGTATGTTGAAACCTGCTTGGCAATAAACCAGATTGTGATTGTATTTAGTACTTTCTCGCTTAATGTTTTCATTTGATTTTTCTTTTACTAATATATAAAATATGCCTACTGTGGCTTCTGTAACAAAGAGCCATCATAATATATTCATGTAAATTTACTAAAATAACATTCTAGTTCTGTTTTTGCACATTTGAATGTTAATTATTATATTTTCTGAACCTGGAAATGTGTCGAGTCATAAAGACGGCAGCAATAGAAAACATAAAGGACTCCGTTACTTTGGGCCTGATTATGTGTCGTGATTTGAAGCGTACCTGGCATGTTGCCCTCCGCTTTCCCACATTGGACCCACTTGCCGCCCTGGTACCTCCAGTGGTGCTGATCCGCCAGAACCACGTCCACGTAGACGTTGTAGTGGGCGGACGGATCCAGAACACTGATGTTGAAGCTCAGGAAGGGGAACATCCTCCTGGACAAATGCACAGGGGAACATATGATTAATAGAATATCTATGTCCACGCATATCTATATTTAATTATTATTTGAGTTGTGAAATGCATTACAACTGGTTTAAATATAACGAAATAGACGTCAAATCTGATATAATGAGCAACAGATCTTAACAATACTTCCCTTTGGAATTTGATGCTTAAAGTATTTGTTGGGATATAAAATGCATGTAATACTACCATTAGGATTTGCCCGACTGAGATTGTGTGTTTTTTGTTTTATTTTTACAAACTATGCAAAGACAAAGTGATCCTCCATCACTGAGCTTCATCGGTGCAGTTTTTCCTTATTTGTGCAACTAATGGATCTTTTCAGTAGTTTCCCCCCAAACAACTGTATACGTCTTCCTCAAATAAGACGATGAAGATGAAGTCACATAATATCAACTGACATGGAAGATATTCCAAGTGCCCTTTTAAGAACAATGTATGAAACGGAGGTGATTCCTGTTTTGACCTCATGACTGAACTCTTCTTCGCCAGATGAAGAGTAGTAGTAATGGACGAGGAGATGGCTGACGGTGGGGGTGTATAGGTGAATATTTAATGCTGCTGTTAATAAAAGATGCCCCCCCCCCCCCCCGGAAGTTGCCCCTGATTGCTGGAGCTCTACATGTTGAACTCTGTTTGAACACAGAGGGCTTCAGTGAGACGAGGTGACGGGAGGTCAGGGCGTCCCCGGCCACCGTGGCCCAGAGACGGAGAGGAGAGGCTGGGTTACACCGAGGGAGGAAAATACGGGATGTGGACGCAGAATACACAAAACCTCAGACACTGGTGACAATCTGCATCATTCATGTAAACGCTAAACATGTAGTGTTGATAGCGCAGCACTTAGTGCTGCAGGGTTAATAACCAATCAGATGTTCCCTTTTTTATATTGCAGAGTAAACGCATCACATGAATGTTACAATGAAGTAGACGGTTGCATCATCTTGCAATAGTTCAACATTTTCGAAACGCACTCGTTTTTTTTGTGGCTGGACTATTTGTATCACAATGACTATAATTATATCTTAAATAATAATAATGCTCAATTTACAGTTAATGTTCTCCTCAGGACAGACACCAAATGGTTGAGTTGTGGTTCATGATATACAATTTTTAACTCGTCAATCTATGAGCTTGTACTTGGTCACAGCGGCGCTTTGAGCTGAATGCTAACATCTGCATTGTAAACATGCTCACAATGACAAAACTAACATGCTGATGTTTAGCAAGTTTACCATTTTCACCGTCTTTTGCAACTCGTTAAGCAAAGATTTGCATGCAAAGATTTGACCCTTTGATGCCCCTTGAGTAGAAGTCAGGGGATCAACAGCGTCGTTGTGGGTTATTCTCTGGTGATCAACGGATTTCTGTACCAAATTTCATGTCAATTGATCAAATTGAGATATTTTACGGAAAGCTGGAAAAGACGTGGGATCACCAAAGTCAGTCTGGACCAGGGTGGTTGACTTACTGACGGACCAACAGACTGACATCACCATTCCTAAAATATCTCCTTACAAGCATCTCTGAAGCTCCCTGAATAACTCCTATCTTGTAAAAACAGATGTGCTCAGATAGAACCAGGCTGTTTCCCCCTGCTTCCAGTCTTGATGCTAAGCTAACTGTCTCCTTGCTGTAGCTTCACATCTACACACGGAAATGAGAGTGGCATTGATCTTCTCATAGCTCTCGGAAAGAAAAACAAATAAGCGCATTTCTCAAAGTGAATTGAAATAAAAACACACTCCACAGTATCTTTACCAATACACGAACCACTGACTGAGACCCGAGTCATTCACTTCATCCTCACTCATGTGTTTGCATGTGAACCAGCATTGCACTCTGGGTCTATATGAGGCACCCAGTGTGTCGTTGGTGTTTAATAAATCAGGGCAACATGTTTGACATTCGGCCCAGCTGTTTTTAAACCGGCTACCAGCACCCGAGGCTATGGAGCATTTGTAATGAGTAGCCAGCGCCGCCCTCCATCCCCCTTTTTGATTAGTTCAATGTGAAAATTGAGGGAGTTGTATTTTAAACTATACGTCCTCCCTGGAGAATGTTTGCAGCACAATTACATGTTTTCATATTAAAGCATGAATAAGAAGCGTGTTCAACTGTTTCAATATCAATGCATTGAAAGAGTTCACAAGTTTGGAAGCGATTCGTGTGTTTTATACAGTGCATGACTTCAATTAGTCATCGTAAGAATGTACAGAAAAAAATATCCTATTCAGAAACACCCTTTTCAAAGACTGGTGGAACAAAACGGATAAAATCTATAATATCTAAAAACAAGAGTTGTACTTGTACTAATAATGTGATCTGAAAGCGTTCTACGTGTTGCCAGTGTTGAGCAAAGTAGAAGTGTCCCCCCCCCTTGGATGCACATTTACCTCATTTATATTCAGCGTGTCTCCCTGGAGCACTTCGGTCATTTAGTGGCGTAAAAACAACTGAGGTGTGTAAAGAGACGATGCGTTCGAGGCTTGTCGGACACCTGGAGGGTCCGTCTTTGTTTATGCATGTCTTTAATAC